TTTGAGTCCTGTGGTTCCTGCCCATCCCATCGAGAGTTGCAAATTAAAAAGACTCCCATTGTAGCAGAAGAAATGTGTTATTTTTCTTTTTCATGCATATTAATCCATCATTTCGTTTTGTGCTTTATTTAGATGGGCAGATTTGCAGGCATCCACCAGACGGACGGTTTCAGCTGGCCCTTCAGCAATCTGTTGGGCCTGCTTGGCTGTACCTGGAAACCTTTAGGGGAAGGGCTGTGCAAATCATCTCAGCTTCACCTTGCAGGGCGGCTGTTGGTTTGTGGGTTTGTTCCAAATACTATTATTTTTCAAACATCATCCATGGGAGACTGAAACCATTCTTCTCTTCCCCCCCCCATTTTTAGGACACTGCTGTTGACTTGATTTGTCTGCAGTTCCAATGGATTCACAAACATTTTAGTGCTTACCTGTGATGAGATAGACCAGTTTGTCTGGGGTGGATTTTGCTCTGAATTATGCTTTCTATGTGTTTCTTATAGAGATGTCTTAAAAGGGTAGAGCTGGAATGGCTGATTGGCTTTTTTTTAGACCAATTATTCCTAACTACCCAGAAGCCCTGAAAAAATGCTATAAACTAGTGCAGTGGTTCTTAACCTTTGTTACTCAGGTGTTTTTGAACTGCAACTCCCAGAAACCCCAGCCAGCAGAGCTGATGGTGAAGGCTTCTCGGAGCTGCAGTCCAAAAACATCTGAGTAACAAAGGTTAAGAACCAGTGAGCTAGTGGTTCCCAACCTTGAGTCCCCAGTTGCTTGAACTACAACTCCCAGAAATTCTGGGTAGCCAGCTAGGGGTAAAGGCTTCTGGGAGTTGTAGACTAAGAACATCTGGAGACCGAAGGTTGGGAACCACTGCTATAGACTCTTAGATGTGTTATCAAAGGTATCAAATATTTACTGTTCGCCTACCTACTATAAACTTTTATTTCTGAAATGGACATACATAGGCCTTTTCACTTTGGAACAGTGGAGTGACAGATTTGAGTTTTATTTTCAAAAGTCTTGGGTTTTTTCCATTCTGAATTGAAAACAATTTTTTAAAAAGTTTTGCAAACATGAACCAAATGGGCATTCTCTCTCATGTTACACTGGCTAAATCCAGTAGGTGGATATCCAGTGAAGCCTAGTGGACATAGTGACGGACTAAGACTAAGGAGGCCCGAGTTCAAATCCCCCCACTCGGTCATGAAAACTCACTGAGGCAGTCGCAGTGGTAAAACCACTCGTGGAGTGAAACTTTCAGTCAGGCTCAAGATGGTTTCCGGCTGCAATCACGGCAGCAATAAGAACCGTACTTAAACATCATTTAAATCAATTTACATTTTATTGTGCACACAGTGCCAGGATGAAACTGATTTATAGGGCCTGCAAAATTATTTTTTCCCCCCAACTGGCCGGCAGAGGCTGTTTAAAATACTGGACTTCTCAAATTAATTCAGTTCAATGCAGTTTTGTGGAAATGTCGGTTTCATTAGGTTATACACCAAAAACGGTTGAAATCACCAGAAACAAATCGATTTCCATTCAGTGCATGCGGATGTGGTCACCAATTTAAATATCACGTGCTCGGAACCTGGTTAATAAAAAAGGCTGAACAGAAATAGATTCAAAGTGCTAGTGTGGCCGCAGCCTCAGTTTTGCTCATATTTGTTTTTTAAATATATATATATATATGTGCCTACAGATACATATGTTCTTGTGTACGAATCTAAATACTGTAGCACTTTTTGATACCCGGTGCCATTATCTGGTCAAGTTTTCAAGGCCCCAACAGGCTTTGAACTGGTGACCTTCCTTGAGCTAAAGAAGGGACAGATTCTGCCCTTTGATCTCCGCAGTCTCTGAACTGTTAATGGAGGAGGTTGGGATCTGGCCGGCAGCTGTGTTTTCCAGCCATTACAACACTTGCCTGCTCTTTCTTGGCTTCATCCTTCATTTCCTCGAGGCAGCTGGTAAGGGGCTTGCCGGGATCATAGATAATTCTGTTTTGTTTATTTAAAATATCTGTTACCCCGTCTTTCTCTTTAAAATGGACCCAAGTGCGTTATCGAGCACCAACATTTAAAAGCTAATAACAGTAAGTATGCTCATATTTTTAAAAGAACCAAACCAAGAACACTCTAAAAATAGTAAACAAAACCAACACCAAAAGCAGATTTAAAAGTGACAGACCACAGCACTCCATTTAAAACCCCCCACTCAGGATGCCAGTTGTTGAGGGAAAAGCCTGCCTGAAGAGAAAGGTCTTGGCCTGCTTGCGGAAGGACAGCAAAGGTGGGGCCGGCCAGACCTCCAGTGGGAGGGAGTTCCAAAGTCTAAAGGAGCAGCAACAGAGAAGGCTCTCTCCTGTGAGAGGTATCCCTTTAACAAAATTGAATAACCACCTTGTTCTCTCTTTATGCCACTTCTAGCCCCCACGTGGGAAAGAACCGAAGAGAATATTGTTCAGAACCCTCTGGCCAAAATCCCAGAGTTATTCTACGCTGGCACGATGCACATGGCCTAACATTTGATGACGTCTTGCCGCTATTTAAGAAGCCAGTGCTTTTGTGCACCTAGTTACACATTAGACGGTCTGCCTTATTACTAAGTTCATCGCTTACTAAGCCCCACGATGGGCTGTTCCTGGCAATCCGAAGGTGTCTTCTCTAACATTTCATCGATTACGTGGAAAGAAATAATTTTTCTCCCAACGGCCGGCGAGGGACCGTTGCGCCCCGATTTGCCTTCCGTCCTCTCTGTGGAACCGCGCAGGCTGCTCCTTCCAGTCTCCTGCTACGGGCTTGCCCCAGTCGAAACGAGGAAGCCGTATCAAGCAAGCGATCTTCGTATCGCTGTATGGCTGAACATCTGTTTCCTCCTATTTTTTTGGTGGCGGTAGAGAAATGCAGCACGAGGGAAGGGGGCTTCTTTTCTTCTCTAGATGGAGGGAAGTGGGCACGCTTTGAATCTAAAGAACATCTGGGAGAGAAATATTTCTCTCAGGGGTTACTGGGACTGTTTGTTACCCGATTTATTTGCTTTCCTGTCTTCATCCGGCTTGTCTTCCTGGAGAGGAACGGATATGAAGACATTGAAGCCGCGACAGAATTTCCTCGGATGCCTTGAGGGAAATACATTTCACTGTATTTTTTTTTAATCATGCTCTTTTCCTGCTCACCCACCCTGAACTCAACAGACCAAGTGACCAGAACACTTCGTTGAGTTTGAGAGTTTCCAACCGTGGGTCCCCCCCAAAGAGGTTTTTGGACTACAACTCCCAGAAATCTCCACCCTGAAATCAACGCACCAAGTGGCCAAAACACTCCATTGAGTTTGAGAGTTCCCAACCATGGGTCCCCCCCAAAGAGGTTCTTGTACTACATCTCCCAGAAATCCTGGCCAGCACAGCTCGTGGTGGAGGCTTCAAGGAATTGTAGTCCGAGAAACTCTGGGGAGGTTCTCAAGGTTGGGAAGCGCAGCTCCGGCTTGCTCGTGTGCTCCGTTCTCCAGTAGATAGACCTTAATTGGAATCCCACTTTCAATATAATGGCTTCAGTTTATGAACTCCTGGGACTTCTTAGCTAGCTGAAGACTTCTATGACAGAGGATCTCACACACACAACCTTGAATTCTAGGTCTTTGAATTCTGGGACAAACGCGACCTTGAATTCTAGGTCTTTGAATTCTGGGCACCCTTTTCCTTTCTGTCTCTAGGGCTCACAACAGTTTTGGTGTGCACGTGGCACATGTGACGTGTCTTTAGTAGCACGGGAAATCCTCATTATCTGTCTCACCCACAGACTCTCTCTCGCACACATTATTCTGCAGTTGTTGAACCCAAAGGCTTACCTCCCCATCTCTTGTTGTTGTTGTTGTTGTTGTTGTGCGGGAAATCCTCATTATCTGTCTCACCCATGGATTCTCTCTCTCACAGATTATTCTGCAGTTGTTGCACCCAAAGGCTTACCTCCCCGTCTCTGTTGTTGTTGTTGTTGTTGTTGTTGTTGTTGTTGTTGTTGTTGTTGTTGTTGTTGTTGTTGTTGTCCAAAATTGGGAGTACAGCGGTCTTGGTTTCTAGTGACACGTCCTTACACTTGATGATCTTCTCTAGTTCCCTTATTGCTGCTTTTCTGAGTCTCATCCTCCTTCTGGTTTCTTGGCGACGGTCTCCATTTGGAGTGATGACTGAACAGAGATATTCCAAGCCTTCAGCAATTTCAGTTTCTTCGTTGTCAACATTTAAAAGACACGTCTTGGGTGTCTGCTCAAGGGTGTAGAGCCAAAAACCAAAAACTCGCTCTTGTGGCACCTGTAAGGAAAACAGAGTGATCTTGCTGTGAACTTTTCTGGGGTTACAGGTCTACCTCCTCAGATGGAGGAGAATATTGAGGCCACCAGTTCTGCCACACCATGTCTGTGGTTGCGGTGGCAGGGTTGGGAATAACACAAAGGGAGATGCAGAAAATGACAACAGCATTACATACCCAGGTACTGAATTTTAAATAATACTGTATTTTAGATAGGCTGTAAACTGCCTTGGAAGGAGCTTCCCTCACCACCACTGCCAAAAACAGGACTATCAAGCTTTATGATCAATAAACCATTATTTCTTTTCCGGAAATCCATCACGGGAGATGAAGCTTGTCCGATAAATTCACTTGACCCCTTTTGTTCTCTCTTTGAATGATTTGTTTTCTGATGCTGTCACAGCGAATCCAACTCGATGTCACCTTTGTCACATGGCTTGTCTTTGTACAGTTGATTTTTTTCTTCTTTAACAAATGGCTGATACAGTACAGAGGCCACGGGAGTTAGACTGGGACCACGTTGTCCCTTGTGGGGGTGGGAGTGGGTGGGAAAACTTTAACAGTGTGTCTGTGTTACAATCCCATTCAGCATTGCTATTTTCAGAAATACAGTCTGCCTGTTGTTTTAAAAAGTGTACACACAACAATTCAAAATTTGATTGAATTATTTTCTGTTTTTCCCTTCCAGCTCTGCCGAAGAAAAGGATTGCGTGGCCATGGATGTGTGACCCTGTGGGCATCGGAGTTGTCAGCTGGAAGTATGGAACTTATTGGCGACTGCCAGCATGATTGCTCTTGGCCAGTTCCAAACGGGCATGGAAGCAAGACCTTGCAAGGCAAGCCAAAGGATCAAAGCACTGATCTTTATTGTAACTCCGTTGGGTTCAACCACGATGAAAAGGAAGAGGTCTCAAAATCGAAAAAGAAGACCCGTGCCAATCGGATTTGGAATTTTGTTAGCCGTCGGAAAGGGTCGGCCATGAACTCCAAGAGACCGCAGTCCATGATTCTTTTTGGCGATAATGTGGACATCTTGGAGCAAAGTCGTAAGATGACCTTCATGGAAAGGGTGAGGTCCTTTAAGAAGCTCAGGTCATCCGGCACCTCTAAGAATGCATCCAAAACCAAAGCTATCATTATTTCTGTGGAAACTCAGGAAGATCTCGAGCAAAAAGCTCTTCAAAGAGTGAAGAAGCTGAGTGGTGGCCAACGGCCTTACCGTCATTCATATGCCGGTTACATTGAGGATCTGGATACTTCCTTTGAAGATGTCGAGTTAAATAGCTGCGTGCTGGACCTTGACTCCAGTGAAATTAAATGGCAGAAGAGCCTTGGCATGGAGCTAAATAGAGATGATACTCTTAACGATGGTCCCAAAATGTCAACTCAAAGGGGTGGGGCTCTTGTCTTTGAGACCGCTCTGGAAACGGGAGTGCTACAAGAGGACCATCAGCAAAGACATTCTGTCGTTGCCATCGAGAATAAAAAAGGACGAAGTTCGGAGGTCTGGAGTTATCTCAAAGGGATTTCCCCCATGAACAAAGACTGTTCAGAACCCCTAAGCCAGAGGGAAGAATCCGATTTTCAGGATTTAGAGCATGCCATGGAGAACACTGCTCCCAACTTTGACCTTGAGTTGAAACATGAGGAAAGGCTTGGCCAACCTAAAAAGACCAGCCATGCAGCAAAGAGCGGCCACTTTGGCGGGGTTCTTCGGTTCTTCAACAGCGTTGCCGAGGTGGCTAGGAAGTGGCGGGGATCTTCGAAAACTTTTTCGCAGGAAGAACCGAGAGCCAATTTCAGGTCCGGGTGCCGAAAGCAAGAGTTTAACGCTCGGCGGCAGCCCCTGATCATTGCCAATGATAGTGCCAGTGGTTTCTCTTCAACGGGATTGTCCCCGGATTCTGGGATTTGGGATAACCAAAGCTCTAAAAGCACGGCTAGTAAAGAGCCGCCCCAAGGAAATACAAATCCGGAGATTTCCCACGAGGTTTTCAGCGAAAAGAGCAGCTTTAGTGAAATATCTTTCTTACCCCCCAGCGCAGGTTTACCTACTTTCCCCCTCTCAGAATCTCCGGACGACTGTGTGTTTGTTGGCCGTCTGGCTACGGAACTGCCACCGATTCAGGACATACCTCATAATAATATAGGGGATCGGGGCGTTGGTACCGTTCCAACCGACGCCTGGACGTTGGGTTCTTGGGCCCAGGGAAATGCTCACGACTCAGCCGCTGAGACTTTGGACCATCCCCAGGGCTTGCATGCTTCTGATTCAAAGCCTCAAGAGTCCCTGAAGATCAGAACAGATGTTGCAGATGTGATACACTTTTCTCCTGTGAACTCGGAAGAGTGTCGTTATAGGGAATCAGAGATATCTAGGACTGACCAGGGTATGCTGAGCCTAACCGACACTTTGGAGGATATTCCCACTTTTTCAAGAACTCTTCTTGAGGACTGCGACCTAGCCAGAAGGCCAGTCGATGCTAGGACTTCTTCCAGCACTGCTGTAGATATGGAGTACCTGGGTGGAATTTCCCAAGGTACCCTAGACTTAGAATGGACGCCAGCTGATATCCCAGGTGTGGGAACTGTATTAGCAGATATGCAGATCCCAGAGAGCTTTATAGGGGATGCCCAGCATACGGACAGGGTGCAAGCAGATAATGAGGATTTAGGAAGGCCCCCTCCTGCAGATCCCCAGGGTTCGGAGAGTTTCCCAGTCAATACTTTGAATGTTAGCTCAGGGCTGTCCGAGAGTCAGGGCTTGGCCAGCATTCTGGAGGACGTTCACAGTACCTGCCCGCCCGATATTTTAAGCTGCCCAGAATGTGACCGAGGAACGCTAGGTCAAGAGTGCTCTTCTGTCGAAGTGGGTGGAAATGCTGCGCCGTTACAACCCCACCCTGTGAGGCAACCTCGCAAAGTGGAACATCCCAAATACAGGGGGGTTGGCCGTCCTGTCCTGTGCACCATTGTTGCCTTTAATGAGTTCGACCCTGGAAAGGTAGGTGCTTCTTCCTGGCTGACTGGCTGTCAACTTTAACCTTGTTATGGCTGGTTCGCAGGGCTTAGAAGAACTTCCTTCTTTAATCGACAACTCCAAAAATCTTGTGTGTGTGTGTGTTCTGGGTGTGTTCTGGTGGGTTATGGCCCGAAACTAGAAATCCAGTTGTTATTCCCAACTAGAGCAGACACACCCATGGGAACTTGGGAAGCTAAGATGTACATTATTAATAATAAGCATGTTCCATCAACTTAATTCTTACTTATGGAACTCTTTTTCAAGATTTTCTAGACAAACAGCACTCAGAAGCGGTTTCCCCTTCCCTTCTTCTGGGGGGTGCCCTAGGACTGTGCAGCTTGCCCAGGGATACACAGGCTGGCTCTTCTCAGGAGGCACAATGGGGAATCGAACTCCCAACACAGACCCAAATCATGGAGCCATCAAGACAGCAACGCTCCCAAGAGAAGAAGCAGCCTGGGTGGCCCTGGGCAAGCTACAGAGTGGCCCCACAGTAGCCCTAGAGGAAGTGAAGGGTAAACCACTTCTGAAAACTCTGGAAAGAGTCTCCGTTCAGCAGAAATAGCTCCTGCAGTGACTGTGGGAAGAGAGAAGGGAGAACCGTAGACTTTTTAAAAATCATTTAGGAAATTCCTTCGGAGACAGAAGATGGGGAGAAAGGGCTCAAAAATCAAGTGTATACAAATGCAATTTCCTTCCACTGGGATCTGAAGGGGTACGATCCGTTCTGCTCCATCTTGTCTTCATCCACCACTGTGCAAAGACCAGCGTAAGCGCCAACGGTGTCTGTCATGAGCAATCCCTGCTTTCTGATTCATGGCCCTAAGAAGCCTTTGCCCCTATTTGCTTTGTGTTGACGGGATGCCTTTTCGACGAGAATGCTGTTAGTGTGTGTGTGTGTAGAACCAAAGCTGTTCTTCCTTCAAGGTTCAGCTTCCTCCCTGGGCTTCCTTTGTGCAAATGCGTTCTTCCCTTTCTCCCCTTCTGCACATGCACATTGATGCATGAACATGAACCCTAAGGGGACTTAACAGTATCCGGAAATCAATATCTAGGTTGACGTCTCACCTGTCAGGGGAGCTCTCCAATGGTTTCTAAACACACCGAAATTGTCGTGGTGATAGGGGTCCTCTGTCTTCAGCCCAAACAACCCAGCGCCCTCCTGGCTTTTAAATCAATACACCACAAGTCCGTGGTGAGGGGAATAAATGCAGCACACAAGACAACCAGCCTTTGGGAAATTGTTGCCAAACAGTTATTCTGAATGATTCAGTTGGACCAGATGATTTATTTACAGTTTCTGGCTAACATTCTCTCATCTCTCTTGAACAGAGAGAGCCCTGATTTCTGTGCTATCGGGACGGATGGGTAATGATGTGTTCATCGCTAATTGGGTAGCAGAATGGATCGTATTATTTCCACTATACCACCGCATCAGTGTTATCACTCTCTGGGAGGTCCACCATATACAATCAGATCATAAAATGAGTTTCCACAATTTGAATACGACCATAAATACCATAAAAATGCAATAAAATACAACAGACCTTGTTGTTAGCTAAAACAATGAACCAAACTTTAAATAGAAGCACACAACTTTAAATGCATTTGGGCTTCTCAGGACAATATTCACCGCTAGTAGAAGGGCAGCTTTATATAATGCTATAGTTAGGAAGAGATGGCTCCTAGGGAAACCCTGCAGGAAGCTTATTCTGGAGGGAAGGGGGCCACGACTGACAAATCTCTGTTCCTAGTGTTGGCTTTTAATGGCCTCCTTGGATTTTACAGTTCTTAACATCATGGACTGTGATTAGTAGATGAGAGGGAACTGTTGGGTAGCTCAGTGGTTTAAGTCTCTGGCAACCTCCCAGTGGTTGGGAGTTCAATTCCCCCTCTGGGCCTCCTTGACCAGAGGCTGGACTCGATGGTCTATATAGGGTCCCTTCCAGCTCTGCAGTTTTAAGACTTAAGATTAAGGTAGCTATTTTGTGGGAGAGACATACCACCAAATATCAAGGTCCCAATCCATTAATAGTTTTATAGGCTATGGTCAGCACTTCCTTCCTTCCTTCCTTCCTTCCTTCCTTCCTTCCTTCCTTCCTTCCTTCCTTCCTTCACAATTGAAATACTGTCCATCCAGCAAATTGCTACTCTGGGTAGTGCATAATAACAAAGAAAAGTAACATAAATTATAAAATTGCTCTAAAACTCTTACATTTTCGCAAAGATAAACACCCAACCCAAGCCCCAGTGTCCATAACGGGTCTCAGAAGGGTAGTGTCATTTGTTGTGCCCAAAGCGGCAGAAAGATCCAGGAGGACCATCCATGTTACACTCTCCCTGCCTGCCTCTCTCAGGCGACGGTCTTGCAGGGTGATCCATGTCCTTCCAACCCCTTGGTGCAGCCTGAACCCCCAACTGAAATGGATCCAGACTATCCGTTTCCTCCAGGGACGCCTGCAGGTTGGCAGCTGCCACCCTCTCGATTAACGTGCCCAGGAATGGTATGTTGGCAACAGGTTGTGAAGACCATCTGTTGCCAAACTGGGTTTCATTTGGAATGGGCCTTCTAAGGGCTGCCTTTAGACATCGAACGACAGAGCTGGAAGGGACCTTATGGATCAAGGTTGCCTTTGGACATCGAACGGCAGAGCTGGAAGGGACCTTATGGATCAAGGAGGCACAGAGGGGGAATCGAACCCCCAACCAGCTGTTGACTTGCCAAATCACGAATTCAATGCGCCTCCTCTAGTTGCACCCTACTGTTGTATTCCAGCCCTTGATTATGCAAACCCAACCCAGCAGAAAAGTTATTTTAAAAATGAATAACAGAGTGAGGAATGAAGCAAGTTGCTTCATTAACATCGTGCTAAGTACCAACAAGAAATTACTTTTCAAATGCTAGCACAGGTCATGGGGAAGGCATTGTTTTGTAGAAATTTCCACCACGGTGTGTGAAAGCACTCAACTTTTCCCCAGTTGAAAGCAGTTGATGTTTTCTCCAACCGCCTCCTGGTCCTACGACTCCTTCCGGGCCACCTCTCAAGTGTGTCACGCGCAGGCGCACCCAAGTGTGAGCCTGGGTGGTTGTTTTCTTCCACCGTGTCTGGATTCTCTGACGCTTCATTAGCTCTGGAGCTCCTTGTCCTCCGCTCTTCCTCAGTAGCCTGTTGGACGCCTTCCAACCTGAGGGGTTCATCTTCCAGCATCATATCTTTTAGCCTTTTGTTTCTGTCCATGGGGTTTTCTTGGCAAAGATCCTGGAGTGGCTTGCCAGTTCCTGCTCCAGGTGGATTGCGTTGAGTCAGAACTCTCCACCGTGACCTGTCCGTCTTGGGTGTCCCTGCACGACGTAGCCCATCGCTTCTCTGAATGACTCAAGCCTCTTCGCCATGACAGGGCAGCAATCCGTGAAGGGGGTCTGCAGTCACCCTGATGCATTAAACAACCCAAAAATATTGTGTCTGGAGAATTAATGCACCAGATACCATTTGGGTGGCATTCTAGGTCAGGAAAATAATGGTCCGCTTGTATCTCAAGCTGGTCAAGGGATGGCACCAAGCAGGAGTCGTGAAGGCCACACGAAAGAATGAAGTCTCTCAAAATGTTGATATTTCTGTGAATTCCCCTCCCCTTCTGCCTCTTGCAAGGCTGCAACGGCTAGGAAAACATCTCCACAAAAGGGGCCCGCCGTGTCAGCCTCTTGTGTGCAGCCAGTCATCCATTGTGACTTGAGAGGTCCTCTAAATGGTCACAATACCAAGACGGCTTTGCCTGGCCTCTTTCCGCTGGGGTTGTTTTGCTTTTTTTTTTTTTCTGGGATGAAAAAAAAAATCACCTTGTATGGGAAAAAGTGCCGCCTTGCTTTTCCTGTCTTTTGTGTGCTAAACTTCACCCTCGGCTGCCCCTTTTTTCGTTTTTAAAAAGAAGAAAAATGGCACAAGTCCAATTATTAGTCCCACAAAGTTCCTGTGAAATGACTCATCGGTGTATCCTCTGGGTCCAACGGGTGGGGAGTCTGCTCTTGTTCGGATCAACTGTGGGATTGAGGCTCACAGGGGCCCCCCCTTCCTATTCTTCTGCCATCAACTGCAGATGAGACCGTTTTTAAGGTGGCAAAATAAGACAAGGGAAGGTGAGGGGAAGGAGAGACTGGATATCTCCTTTGTCTGCAGACTCTTCTTGGGTTTTGGAGGCAGGAGGAAATAGCTGTGGGGTTGAAAACTTTCCTCCTTTCTTGGAGCATAATAAAAGTCGAGGAGACTGAATTGACCCCAAAAACCTGGATGGGTTTACGTAGCTTCCAAGTAAAAAACTTCAATAAAACAATAAAAGGTCAAGCTTTGAACAGGAAATCATATCCTGCCCTCTTCAGGATTTCGCCGCCCCTCCTCTGTTGTCGTCACTGCGTTATGTGGGTTCCTCCCCTCCCGAGGTCCAATTTATTTTCTGCAGGTTAGGGTTAGGGTTGTGATCCAGGGAGTGAAAAATCACCATTGAGCTTTGATCTGCCTACATTTTCCCTTTGCGTTGCTGTAGAAATCATCCTAGATAGGTCCGCATCAGCACCAACCTGGCGTGGCCATTGGTGACAGATGATGGGCATTGCAGTGTGGAAAGCTAGTGTGGGGTCGTGGTTGGCATTTGGGCTAGGAGACCCAGATTCACATCATCATGGAAGGAAAGGCAGATATAAATATTCAAAACAATAATAATTTTGATTTATGGCAACCCTTAATAGGGTTTTCGAGGTACGTAAGAACTGAAGATGTAAGAACTTCCCATGATCACCCTCAGGGAATGTCCATGTCTCAGTGGGGATTTGAACCCAGGTCCCCCACTCTATTTGCAGTATATTGTGCCAATTTAAAAAAAATTGCAAGGGAGTGCAGAACTTTAAAAGTTACTTTTTTGGCCCACCGCTTTCAGAATTGCCTGCGCAGCCAGGGCGTCTCTGGGAGCCAGGATCCTGGCCTTTGTCTCAGACAGCAAAATCTCTTTGGCTAGCCACATCCTCGCTCTGCGTTGTAAAGGAAACCTCACACTGGCTAGTTTCCACTTTGCCAAGGCTGAGGGAATGGCTGTTTCCAGCAACTTAATGCAAAAGACAAAAGGGGTAGGAGACTCTTTTACACGAGTCAATTACGCGTAGGAAATAATATTCATTTTACGACTGGACGTGTCTATAAGCACAGTTGGTTGGCCCATCGTAGCTTTAAGGTCACACCGCTTTTTCACCATAGTCTTCTACTGCCCCCTGCAGTTTCCTCTTCAAATATTTTGCTTTGCTTTTCAAGAAGGGATTTTGGAAGCAAAAAACGTCCACATAAGCTAAATTGCTGGTCGCATATATCGGCATAAATCTCACGTCTCCTCTGCTTACCTGTACTGTATAATTGAGGTGATTTCTTTTTCTGACACAGAAGTGATTTTGTGCACAGAGGGTGGCCCCATGTTTTCCTACATTTCTAACTAATAATAATAATTATGTACTGTTAAGTCCATTCTACTTTACGCTGACCTTTCAGAGTTTCCCAGGTAGAGACTACAGTACTCAAAAGTGGGTTTCCATTCCCTTCCACTAGGGGCACTGTGGGACTGTGCAGCTTGCCCAAGGCCACCCAGGTTGGCTCTTTCCCCTAGGAGGCAAAGAGAGGGATCGAACTCCCAACCCCTGATTCCACAGCCAGAGACCTAACTCACTGAGCTATCCAGCAAGCTCATTTTTAACTAAACACAGTTAAATAGACCGATTCAGTGCTGCCGTTTCCAATGCCGATTTCCCACCAACTAAAGTGTTTCGGCACATTTGTTCAGCTGTACCGGTTTTCAGCCATCTGTGTGGTTAAAAAGTACTCATTGTTTTGCCTTTATTCTGCCTCCCGCCCAAATACACGGCAGAGCTTGCGAATGTGTGAATTTTGGAGGCAGGAAGTGCTTGGTCTTTCACCCACTCCCAGGAGGTGCTAAATCGCGACTTTCATCAGGGAAATAGGGACCCAATTAAATTCTTTTCTAGCTCTCTGTGTGGGCAAGCCCCCTTGCAAAAGAAAGATCTCAACTTCTAGCTCCTTTGTCTCCTCAAGCAGCTGAACGTTTATTTTTGTCGATTAGCCTTGCTCACCAAAGAACACAGATGCCGTCTGAGGAGGTCTGTAGTACCAGCCGTCAAAAATTAAATAACCATTAGCATCAAGAAATTCCAGCTGAGCTTTCGTCTTGGTTAGTTATTTTGCTGAGTTAAAATCCCAGTGAAAATGGCGTGGCTGGTTGGAAAAAATATGACCTTGAATACTCAACCTGCCAGGGAGGATAACTTAGCCTCCTAATCACGCCCCCTCTGTCCAGAGAGTCAACCCATTGAATAAGACAATTTCTTGGTCTTCACCTCTTCTTCAGAATTGGCTCAAAAGCTTTGGCTCACTCCCTGTGATTTGAGAGCAGTGTTGATTCGCACAACCGAAAGATGTGATTTGGGTTTTGGACTGACTGGTGGAAACATAACCCACTGGCTTCCCCATGTTTCAGTCTTTTGACGTAACTGAGTGGCATATATCAAGATCAGCTCATCCTAACAGGGAGGTGGAACTGCGAATAATAATAATCATGTGCCATTAAGTCAATTCTGACCTATGGGATTTTCTAGGTAGAGAGTATTCAGAAATGCATTACCCTTCCCTTCTTCCAGGGGTGCCCTGGGAACACGGTGCAGCTGGCCCAAGGCTACCCAGGCTGGCTCTTCTCCCAGGAGGCACATAGTGGGGGAACCGAACTCCCAACCTCTGGCTCGGACTGACTGGTGGAAACAACCCATTGGATTCCCCCTGTTTCAGTCTTTTGATGTAACTGAGTGGCGTATATCAAGGTCAGCTCATCCTAACAGGGAGGTGGAACTGCGAATAATAATAATAGTTGTGTGCCATTAAGTCAATTCTGACCGATGGGATTTTCTAGGTAGAGAGTATTCAGAAGTGCTTTACCCTTCCCTTTTTCCAGGGGTGCCCTGGGAACATGGTGCAGCTGGCATTAAAAGGAGCTGGAAGCAAAAAAGCATGGGAGGCAGGTATTCTAGAACAATGGTCCCCAACCTTGGGCCACACGGCTCCGCAGTGGTCGTGAAGGTATAGATGTTCCTCATGATGAACATCTTTGAATATCTTCAATATATTATCTGCGCTTCACATCTTTATTTATTTATTTATTCATATCAAAGCACTGCATGATTTAAATTTATGGATGTGTAGGGAATAGAGGTAAAATTAAAAGCAAATTAATATGTTAGGGTTCACGTCTTTCTTTATTCATACCAAAGCACTGGATGATTTAAAATTATGGATGTGTAGGGAATATAGGTAAAATTAAAAGCAAATTAATATGTTAAGATCCATTCTATATGAAGGTTAAAAGGAGCTGGAAGCAAAAAGCATGGGAGGCAGGTATTCTAGAAGCAGTAAGGATGGCTGGTTCGTACACGGCTCCACAGTGGTCATGAAGGTGTAGATGTTCCTCATGATGAACATCTTTGAATATGTTCAATATATTATCTGCAAACAAATTTCCGATATGCCTGACACACCTTACCTTTTTAATACTCTTTGCCTTTGCAGATCTGGTTTGATTTTTTTTAGTTCGAAGATGATGGGTGGTTCCAATTTCACATGGAATAGTGAACCCTAGACCGCTTTAAGGAGCCTCGTGGTGCAGTGGTTAAACTGCAGTCGTGCAGCCAAAACTCTGCTCACGACCAGGGTTCAATCCCAGGGAGCTGTCTTGAGGTTCACTCAGCTTTCCATCCTTCCGAGGTTGGCAAATTGAATACCCATTTCTCGAGGGTGGGTGGGTGGAACATGTAAATTGTAAATTGCCCAGAGAGAGCTTCAAGCATTATCAGGCAGTATATAAGGAGCACACTTTGTTCTGCTGTGAATGATCTTTTATATCTTTGCATTACTTTCTTGACTCATAGAGTAATCACCTATCGTTTTATTCCTTCTTTCCCTTCTCCTCAGCCACTCTCTCACCCTCTTCACCCGTCACCAGAATCGCCACCTTTCAAACTCTTCTTGGACCGATGCCGGTCTTTACCACTTTCCCAAAGCACACCGATGGGTTTGGATCAGCTGGGCTGGAAGAGGAAGCTGTTTCTGAGTGCTGGGGGTAAGTAACGTTTCCTCTAGAGTAGGGGTTTTGAAAGAAACATGGGAAGGGATCCTGATCTGGCCCATAGCGATCCAGATCTCCCCTGAAATGATTTCCACCCTCTATTTGAAAGGATGAGTAAATTCTGATCACTATCCTTCGGTTGACTCGCACTGGAAAACTAAAACGATGAGAACTCTTATTTTTTGCAAATTCTGCGGATTTCTGCCATTTCATGCAAGGCATGCCTTTTTGCACCACGTAGCCAATCTGTGCAAAAATTATTCCTGCAAATGTGAGAACGGTCCTTGACGGCACTAGAAAGTCTCGGTGACAGATCGTAGTTTTAAAAAAACACACACACAACTACAGACACTTCAGTTTTCAAGTGTGAGTCAGGAGGAGAGTTACAAATCAGCCTAGATCCTGCATGGAAATTGAACTTGGATCAGCACAGATCATTTTTAGTCCGAACTAGAATATTCTCAGAAGCCCTAAATGGGTCACCCAATTGAATTGAAAGGGACCCTGTGCACAGCTTAGGTATATATTGATGTATGTCTTTACTGCAGTAAATTTCACCCTGCTTTCGTTGAACCTTGTCCTGGCAGCCGAGAGTGACTTGGGTTCAAAAACCCTGGAGATGAGGAGAGTGGGGAAGAACGGCCGAAGTCGGTGGAAACCTCTCAAACCCGGGGCAGAGCAGCTGCTACTCAATAAAGTAAGCCGCCTTCTGGATTTTTTAAAAAAACATGTGTTTCTAATTTGCTCGGCAGTGGCTGCAGAGATACGTGTGGCTCTTGATGTAGATGAACCATCTCCCTGGGTAAAAAGCTTGGTAAAATCCATCCAAAGCGCATGTTTTTTGGCAGCAGGGTCTTGTTAAAAAATTATGTTTCGCAATTAGCCTCCGAGTGGCTTCGCGACAAATGGAAAGCTAGCATGTCAACCTCCCGGCGGCTCTTCTCAGATGTCTGCGAGACAGTTTAAAACATCCTTCCCTTTGGGAGAGTTCCTTCTGGAGACAGAGAAATATAGTACTTTTCCAATCATTGTTGGCTTTGATCCACTTTTTCCGCAGCCTCCATGGCAGCAATGTTAAAATAACCTTAACTACTCATATCTGAAGTTTGGTTTCCAAAGGGGGGGGGGGTTGTTATGAATTGACCTGGCCCTCTCTTTTTCTCAGAGGGACTTGGAATTTATACCTCTTAAGAATGAGGAAACTGGCCAGTCTCTTTTCCCCCTTCATTTGAAGCTCAAGATTTTTCCCTTCCAAAGATGTAAATGTATTCATTCATTCATTTGCATGCCAGCAAAGCTCAGCAGCGTAAGGGCCATTGCATTGTCATCAGAGATGGGACCTAAGTTATCAGAAGGTGGACCTCGGAGGTACTTGGTCTGAACAGAACAGAGACAGGGAAGCTTATGTTTCTATCTGCGTTCCAGAACCCTCATCTCGTTTCCCACATCTCCTCAAAACATTTCGCTTTATATCAATTGGTGTTACTCAGCTTTCATGTTCATACGAAGAGTGCGACGTTACAGTGGGTGTGCCTACAACTTAAATCCGTGTAATTAATCTTTAATTCATCCTTGAAAACTTTATTTCTGAGTGGGAGCTGGGGGGAGTATTAAGAGAACTTTGCATTTCAGCGTTGGACCGTTTGGTCGAGGTACAGAGACACGGGGAAGAAAGCGATAAAAGTGATGCCATGACTCAGAAAGCTGGTGGTTAGGTTTTTTGAGAAGCAGAGAATGAACTTTTGGGCTACAGTTTTTTTTCTGAGGATCCTTCAGACTGAATTTTGGCAGCTCTGTGAATTTACTCAAGTGATACTTTATGGTTCTAGGATTTGATCTTTGGTTTTTCTATAGGTGTTACTTAATATTTGGGTCTCGGTGGAGGTTATTCATGCATATGTCTTGTGGTTTGCTTCTGTTTTGCTTGCAAGCATTTCCCCCTGATTTATTTACATTTATCCATCATCAGGTTAATGTCAGAAAGGTTTTACAGTGTATGGATCAGTTGATTTGACAGAAAAAGAGCTCAGCTTGATCTTTAATGTGTAGCCAAGAGTCGCCTGTTTGAGAATCACCCTAGCCTCACCTTGAGGAAATCTGGATCCAAGCCTTGCTCTGTTTATGTATTACAAGGAGCATCACTAGATTTTTAGAGAAAAGAAAATTAAAAATTAAAAACTTAAAAAAGACAAAAACCTGGTGGCACCTTAAATATTAACTTATACTGTATATATATTTAATGGGAGCTTTCATGGATAAGTCCACTTCATCAGACATAACAGAAAGAGATATCACATGGCAAATATTTATACATGGCATCATACAAGGTATGAATATCGTACTACAGAGATTGTGGTTGGTTGGTAAGAAAGTCAGTGGGATGAAGGTGAGGAAGAGCAGGTAGTGATTGTCGCAGATCCGGGGGTTGGTGCCAATGATGCTTGGGGAACCAGAGAGAGTAGGGGGAAAAACTGGCACGGATTCTTCACTGGATCGGATTTTAACCTTGCCTGCCTTTAGGAGAAACGTTGCCACTGTGTCCAACTGGGACTGTGTTCTCTCCCCGCGAGTTATGCAAGCAAGCAGGAGAAGCGGAGCTTCCTTATGCAAGGCCGAGCTTTTAGGGTTGCTCATACCCCCCCAAATTGTTTTTTTTTTAAACATTTCAAAAAACCCAGATGGAAGCTCTGCATCTGCAGTATGCTGTTTTTGGTAAATATCCTTCTGTGCTAATAGCGAGGGAAGCAGAAGCTCGCTGTGGGCAGAAGGTAGTTAATATGCATGGGGGAGTGTGTTATGCTCTGTACCAAACACAGCCTATTTTTGGAGGCGGCAGGGGAGAAGGAACCAGAAGAACTCTGTGTGTGTGTGTGTGTGTGTGTGTAGGTAGGTAGAGGGGGAGAGAGAAAGAGGGGTCCCCTTCCTAGCTATGCCCCCTGTACAGTCCCTTGCACCTGTGTAGCCTTTTTAGATGACCCCATTTGTAAGATGAAGGGGGCGAACCTTCTCTTTCGCCGAGGATGAAGGAGGCGGTGGCCTCGTCTTTTCCCATCTCCGGGTGGAGGGTGGCGCGATGTGGGGGGCGCTTGCTTTCCTCACAGGCTTTGGGGCCATCTATTTTTAACTCCTGGCAGGATGCTGAGTGAGCATTTCCTGGGGAGGAGGGGCTTGTTCTCCCCCTTCTCTCTATCCACCCCCCGCCACCCGTTTGCTGTTTTTGAAACGTGTCTGACACTATAATTTCTCTCCTCGTGGATGTAGCACAGGGGGGTTGGATGATGGCAAACCGCTGCTGCAGCATTGGGAGACGTGAGCTGTATTTAATAAAGGATGCTTTCCAACAACCCCTTTCTTATCGGAGGCGATAGGAACGACAGGGAGGCAAAAAGCCCATTTATCTGCGCTAATTGGTTTTAATATCAGGGCCTCAGTGGTTTGGTTTTCCTGCATGTAGCAGAGTCGGCCATTCTTACCTGTTCTTGTCTCTTCCGCTCAATCTTCTCCTGCCCTGATCCATGCCCTCTCTGTAGGGGTCAGTTTGTTCCACGTATTTCTCCTTATGATGGTCAATCTGTTCTGGAAGCACAGTTTATCCCAATTTTTTAATTAAAAAAGAAAAGAAAACATACATGTATCCCTTTCCTAGTGTGACTTTTCTTAACCTATTGTAAACTAGTACACACTTACACACGTGTGACTGAATTGATGGCTGGAATCCTGTTGCGTAACTCAATCCATGAGTGTAATGGGAATGACGTCATAAGCAGTGGCCAGTCAGTGCTGATGAAAGGCAAATCACTGCTGATTAAATCTGCTGTCGTGATACACGTGACTCATATGCCATACAGCAAAGTTGTACACATCCTGAAATCACCAAAAGAAGCCTTTAATCAGCAGGGCTTTGATGATGATGATGAATTTTGGTGCCCAGCATGCACGACAGGCTGCACCAGGCCTGGAGCTGACCCCTGATGGCCTAAAACTTTTTTAAAAATCTCAGCAGAAGCAATCAGATGTGCACTTCCAGTTTTTGATTTTGGGGAGATCCAGGAAGGCTTTGTTCCCCTACAGTGGTTTTAAAAAACCCCGCCCCCCCTCAAGAATTTTTTCTTTTCAACATGGAGGGGGGTCTCTGGGAGTTCTGGAGAGTAGTGGGAGCCACAACAAATGCCCCTGAGGGCCTTGTGGATTGTGAGATGCGTATTGACCGCCTCTGGTAGCGGGCAGGGAATCGCATGCTTTTGTCCGAACTATAAAGGAGCTTTCCAAGGTGCTGAAGCAGTTTAGGATGTACAGGGCAGACTAAATCCCGGAGTGGCTTCCCTGCCTGCACGACAAAGGATGGTCCATCCACAGTGAGTACATGGATACCAACATTCAGCATCGGTCACCTTTTCACCTCTCCACTGTCCCTGCCTTCGAGTGAGATATGTTCTAGTTGCAAGAAGTCTGGGAAAGATTTGTTCAAGCATGGTGGAACTAGGTGTTCTGCAGGGATCAGGAAGCACAGATTTAGTTCAACCAGAGCTGGTGTTTGGGTCAGATCACAGCTGGACCCTGAAAGCCAACCAAACAAGCAAGCAAGCAAACAAACAAGGGTGATGGGGAGGGACTGGCAGATCTTTGCATTTCTCCAGCTGTTTCAAAGGACAGCTGAATTATCTCCCAAGGACCGATCTGCTAGCTAAATGCTTGTCATTTTTAAAGGCAGGAGATGGCTGTGGGATGGAGGCAAAGGTTATGCTTTGGGTATGGGTGGGATGAAGGCTAATCCAGTATGGAATCCTTGTAGTGTGATCTGCCCTGAATCAAGAGACAGGGTGGCCATGGGCTAGAACAATTCCCCCCACAGATGGAAGGGCTTGTTCAAGGTAGGATCCTTCTATTAAAGGGATCCTTTCATGTGCTTTTGGCTGCATACTTTTGAAGCTGTTTGATGACACCCTGGGATTCAGTCACCTGGGCACTTGCTGAGTCTGGAGTTCATAACGGTGCTCACTATGGATGACTGGCCCTTTGGACTTCCCTGGATTCTTCCACTAGGATTCTTCATTTCCATACTGGATACTCTGTAACTTGTCTTTCTTTCTTTTTTCTTTTAAAGGACCTTTCTTAAGCTCTGAGTTGGTTGTGTACCTTTATTGGGACACTAAGGTGTTTGTGCACACACATGCTTTCCAGGTAACCTTCTGAAAGTACGATGAAGAATGGAGGGTGTTCTCTTCAAAGGCCAGCTCAGAGTTTAGTAGCTGCGCCTCCTGATAGGGCATGTATTGGATGGGTTTAGGATGATCCGTAGGGTCCCTTCCAGCTCTGGTGAAGAATGGAGGGTGTTCTCTTCAAAAGCCAGGTCAGAGTTTAGTAGCTGCACCTCCTGATAGGGCATGTACTGGATGGGTTTAGGACGATCCGTAGGGTCCCTTCCAGCTCTGCAATTCTAAGAAGATGAGGAGGATGGATGGAAATCCTTCTCCCCCCCCCCAAAAAACCTCCACCCCACCCTATGGCATGAAGTTTTTGAAAGCTGGCACTATGCCCAAGTGTGGAAGGATCTACCTGGTTTGTTGAGTGCTTCAGGGTGCGAAGATCTGTCAGTTTACTTTCACGGTATCAGAGCTTCTGTCTCCCTTCTCGTATGCACGTGATGGTTTCTTAATGTCCAGACTCTGTTTTCAAATATGACGTTTCTGAGAACTT